TACGGTGGGCAGTGGCACGACGCTGACGGATACGGCAGGGTCTATTAGCATGGCGACCGAGGCGCGTCCTCCGACGGCCCGTTCGAGCGGCGCCAGCAGCGCGGCGGTTAGCTCGAGCGCCGCCAGAAGCGCAACTGCAATGTCCGCAGCCTGACCTCCAGTGTTCGTTGTATCACATTGCGTCTCGGATCACCAACAGAGCAACCTCGGGCAGCATGGTCACGACCAGTGCGGTCTCGGACAGTGCAGCGTCCACGGCCACCTCTACGGCGAGCTCCACGTCGACATCGTGCTCTAGCATGGGCGTTGTCGAGTCGGACAGCGCAACGTCGAGCAGTGCGACTTCGTGTGCGACACTGTCGAGCAACCCCGTCTGGCCAGCACGCGGTGTGCAGTGGCATGACTCAATGACGGTGACGGTTCGTCAAGTTCTTTCCGTGCCACGCCGTCCAGGACGAGGTCTTCGACGGCCAGCGCGAGTGGCGCCAGCAGCACGACGACCAGCTCGAGCGTGGCTGGTATCACAACTCCATGATCCCCCACCTTGGCTTCCAGTGTTTCGGGACGGCTCTCGGCTTCCCCGCGCTTGCCGCTCCCAGGCAGGTCTGACTGGGAGCGGCAATCGGCGACCCCCCCCCGATTGCCGCTCCCAGTCCGACCTCTTGCATGTCTCAGGCGAAAGCACCATTTCCCACATTTCTGCGGCTGTGAGCTGCACCCTGCCAGAGCACCGGGCCTTCACTTGCGGGTGCAGTCGCGAGCTTCTTCACCCCGCTCTTGGCACTGGGCGGCCCTCGGCCACCCCCCTGCTTGCCGCTCCCAGGCCACGCCAGTATGTCTCAGGCGAAAGTATCTCTTCCCGCGCTCCTGTGGCTGTCAGCTGCACCCTACCAGAGCACCGGGTAGCCTCATACGTTGCCAGTGCGAAGCCTTCCGCGGCTGTCTGCTGAACCCTACCAGAGAATCAGCACACCGCAAGCGAAACTACCCCTTTCACACTGCGGCTGTTATTCGCTCTCCGTCTGGGCAGCAGGATGTCTCAGGTGAAACCATCTCCCCTATTTTTGTGGCTTTTAGCTGTAACCCAGCTGAGCGTCGTCACCATTCTGGCGAAGCTGTTGTTCATACCCAGCATCCTGCAGCTGTTCGCTGCCACCCGCCCCGTTCTTGGTCGTGGACGGCAGTCGGCGACCCCTCCCGCTTGCCGCTCCCAGTCCGACCTCCAGTATGTCTCATGCGAAGTCATATTTTCCCACTTTCTTGGGCTGTTAGCTGCACCTTACCACAGGACCGGGCATTCTCATGCGTTGCATTCGCGAGCCTCGGCTACCCCTCTTGGCACTGGGCGGCCCTAGGCTACCCCCCCCGCTCGCCGCTTCCAGGCTGGTCACCAGTATGTTTCAGGCGAAAGTATTTTTCCCCGCGCTCCTGCGGCTGTTAGCTGCACCCCGCCAGAGCACCGGGCTGTCTCCTGCGGTGCAATCGCCCATCGCCCTGAGGCTGCTCGCCCGGCGGGCCTGGGTTGGCTGCACGTCTCAGGCGGCGCACCCCCCCGCCTTGAGGCTGCTTGCCCAGTGGGCCTGGGTTGGTCACCCAGTATGTCTCAGGCGAATGCATCTCTGCCCACGCTCCTGCGGCTGTTAGCTGCACCCTACCAGAGCACCGGGCTGTCTCCTGCGGTGCAATCGCGGGCCCTTTCCTTTGCCGCGGCTGTTTGCTACACCCCCCACTGAGCTGCAGGTCTCGGGCGATGCAACCCCCCGTCGCCCTGAGGCTGCTCGCCCGGCGGGCCTGGGCTGAGCTGCAGGTCTCGGGTGGCGCAACCCCCCGCCTTGAGGCTGCTTGCCCAGCGGGCCTGGGCTGGTCACCCTGCCCGGCTGGCCCTGTCTCCTCGTCGCCACCAGTGTGTGCCCTTTTTGCGGCGCTATCGAGTCGGGTGCCGCACCCTGCCTTCGGTCGGGCTAGCTCCCTCTTGCTCCCCCCGTGGCTCGTGGATGGCGACGACCTTGCGGCTGGACTACGCGGCCTTGGGTATTGCCTGATTGATGGATGACGTCGTGTTCTACGCTTGCGTTCTTCTCGTGCCGGTGGCCAGTCTGTGACGTCCCAGTTGTGTGCATTGGTTTGGGTACGACACTCTTTACTACAAGTTGTGGCTCCTCGATGAGGGGTTTTCGTCTACTGTGTGGCCTGAGCCTGAGCTGCGGCTTGCTTCCTCTCTGTCTGTCGTGTCTTCTCTTTGCTTCGCTCTTGTTATTATTCCTCGCTCTTGTGTCTTCCGTTCTCGTCCTGTCCGTTTTTGTTTTTTGTTTGTTTTCTTTTTTTTGTTTCGGTCTCTCTCTCTCTCTCTCTCCCTCTTCCGCTCTTCTTGTTGTCCCGTTTCTCCCTCTTTCGCTTCGTTCAGTCTTCGTCAAATTTTTGCTCTCCGCGTAGTGGCCCGTTTTTTTTCCGCTGCCTTGCACCTGCGCGGCTTAGCACTTCGATCGATTTTTCTTGACGGTGCGCGGATGTTTCCGCGTCGCTCGCAATCAAAAAGTAAACCCACCAATCCAGAAATGATGCCCAGAGCAGTTGCTTCGACCAGAGAAGTGGGCAACACGAAGAGAAAAAGGGTCCCACTGGGAGCGCTCTTGGGCCACTCGGGTGCGCTCTTGGGGCCGTCTTGGGGCTCGCTTGTGCCTCTTTTGGGGCCCATCAGGGTATTTTGGGGCCATCTTGAGGCCCTGGAAGGCCATCGACAGCACATTGGCGAGACGACGACATTTCCTCTTGTTCTTTAGGTTGTCGAAGGATGTTGGCATTTTGGGGGCCTCCGTGGAAGGCTCCGTGGCCGCTTGGAGCCGCCTTGGCGCGGTCTTGGGGTCCCTTGGAGCGTCGTGGGTGCATCGGGGAGTTTCTTGGGCCTCTTGGGGGTCTCTTGGGGGCTTCTTGGGCGCCTCCTGGGCCCCTCTTGGGGCCCTCTTGAGGTGCTCGTGGGAGCCTTGGGAGCGCTGTCGGGGTCATCTAGGTGGATATCGAACAAATAATGTGGGAGCTCTCGTTTCGGCCCCCCTTTGGGAGCCCCAGACATCGCCTCTTGGGCCCCTCTTGGGGCGGTTTCGGAGCGCTCTGGAGCGTTCTTGGAGCGCTCTTGGGCGTTATTGGGGCCGTCTTGGGGCCCTCACGGGCCTTCCTGGAGCTGTCTTGAGGCCTCGGAAGGCCATCAGGAACGAACAGGCGAGAATGTACAGCTCATTGATTTTCGTCCGGTTTTTACAAGATTTTGCACCTCTTGGCGGCCTCCTGTGGGGGTTCGGTTCCGTGGCCATCCGGAGCTGCCTTGGAGCGGCCTTGCGGCCTCTTGGAGCAGTATGGGAGCCGTATTGGGCCATCTTGGGCTATCTTGAGCCATAGTGGAGGTCATTTTGGGTTTTCTGAGCCCTTCCTGGAGCCATTTTGGGTCATCATGGGCGCTAACGCCTCGTGGGCCCCCCCTCCAACTCCAGGGGAGGGGTCAAGACACCCTCCCAGATGGCAAGCCGTCTAGCTCACTCCCACCCGCCCTCCCAACACATAAGTAACACCTGAGCCTCAGCATGTTCAGCGGTCGTCTTTGGATGGACAGCTATTGGGAACCAAACCCGAGCCCATGTGCGCAACGCTGGGGCGAGGTGCGCCACGCGTGCCAGGCGCGCCACGCGCGCCAGGCACCCTTGGGGCCCGAGCGTGCCAGGCACGCATGGTGCGGCAGATGCGCCACGTGCTTCTGCGTTCGCTAGGTGTGCTGGATACTCCATTCGCGCCAGGTGCGCCACGTTCGGGGCACGTGCAGAGTTTGCCAAGTGCGCCTGCGCACGTGACAGCACACATCGGGAAACAAGTCGGCCCCCACCATCCATGCCGAACAATGCCCATCATTATGTCTGGTGTGCCTGCGCACAGCAGACCATATGCCACCATTTGACACAGCTCGCGAGGTGCATGTTGTATTGATTTTTGTGAGGGGTGGTAGCTCTGCGCGTAGCAGGCAATATGCTGACACCCCCGCCGTCCTTGTCAAAAACAATACAAAGTGCTCGCGGGTCTCACGAACATGATTCCAGCCTTTGTCTCAAAAGGTACTCTGCGTAGTTTTGTGTCAGAGATGGCGGGGGGGGCCCTCATGGGGTCCTCATTGTTCCTGGTTGGCTGCTGGTCGCCTGGTGGGGGGGTGTATATTAATAGGGGATGGTGGTAAATCCCTCCCCGAAAGGGAAGACAGGGGTTGGAAGTGAAAGTTTTCTAGACCACCTGCGCCCAGAGGGCTGGTGGGATTAGCCTGCCAGATGCAGCTCTGAATGCCGCATCAGTGAGTAAATTTTTCGGTGGGAATTCCAGTGTGGCCACGAGGGCTGCATTGGGTGGGGAAACCGCATGCAAACACCGCCACTGGGGCCTTCGGTGGAGATCCCTACGGAGCCACGAAGCGTTGTACTGGGGTAGGGGAGCCGCACTCAAGCAACGCCAGTGGGGCCTTCGGTGGAGCTCCCTATGGGGCCACGAAGCATTGTACCGGGCGGGGGAGCCGCATATGAGAGCAGCCGCTGGGGCTTCCTGTGGAGCTCCCTATGGGGCCACGAAGCGCTGTACTGGGTGGGAGAACCGCATGCGAGAGCAGCAACTGGGGCCTTCGGTGGAGCTCCCCACGGGGCCCTGAAGCTCTGTACTGGGTGGGGGGACCGAATGCGAGAGCAGCCGTTGGGGCCTTCGGTGGAGCTTCTTATGGGGCCACGAAATGCCGTACGGGGTCGGGGAGACGCATGTTGATGAGGCCAGAATCACGGAGGAGGCTGAGGGAGGAGGAGGGGGAGGAGCGGGAGGAGGAAGCAGGAGAGGAGACGCGGGGCGCTGTCCTCTCCAAACGAGGGCCCAGCACCACCGTATGGCTGGGAAGAGCCCCGGAGGCGGAGGGAAGGCAAGGGCAGGGGGAGGGTGAGCGGCGGGCGCTGGGCGCGTGCCCGGCCGTGCCCCCGCCCGGCAAGGCTGGGTGCAGCTGTCTGGCGTCGCCATCAACATGACGGTGGGCATGATGAAGCTGCAGGGCGTGGTGCGCACGGGTAGGGGGCCACATGCGAACCCCACCCCTGCCCCCCACGATTTCTGAGGGGGAGGGTGGGGTTCACTTCGTTCGGCAGCTCCCGAGTGAAGTGAACCCCGCCCTCCCACTCAGAAATCGTGGGGGGCAGGGGTGGGGTTCGCATGTGGCCCCCTAACGGGGCAGGCTCGTGTGCCGCTCGCCCCAACGGGGGGCCTGCTGCTGCTTCGGCGCCGCGAGTTGTCGAGCCTTAGGGGCTCCGGGGTCCGGGCGCAGGGCTCGGGGCGAGCCTCGAGGGCCGAGGCTCGAGGCTTGATGGTCGATGATCGAGGTCCGGCGCCTCGCGTAGCCTCCCCAGCCCATCCAGACACGATGCGAAGGCGAGCTGCCGCCTCGAGAGCAGCAGCATGATGCAGTGCAGGAGAGGACCATATGTCGAAGACGCCTACGACGAGTCACCGCCGCCGCCCGTCTTCAAAGGCTGGCGAAATTGTCGGACTGTCTGGTCTCCCAGCTTTTCCTGCCTTTGTTGCCAAACGCTGGGTCAAAGACTGGCCAAGCTATCTATTTGACAATGTGTTCCCCCAGCCGTTCTGGCACTTTCCTGTGGAGCAGTGTAGGGGGAAAGATAGTGAGGAGGAGGAGGGGGAGCAGGAACAGGAAGGAGGAGAAGGAGGAGGAGGAGGAGGAGACGAAGAAGCGGGAGTGAGGATAATTATTCACTGCGTGGGGCTCCCCATCTGTGCATCTATTCGCATGGACCTGTCCGCCGTGAATGTCTAGGCGCAAGAGCTTTCGAATATAAACGGGCTTCAGTTGTGACGGTCTGGTCATGAATCTAACTGAGAATGAATTGGAGTGTGAATGAGCCTCAGTAGTACGAGCGCGTCTCTGCGCATGAGCCTGGGTCCTCCTGGGGCCTCCTGGGGCCTCCTGAAACCTACTGGGGCTTCCTGGGGCCTCCAGGAGCCTCTTGGGCCTTCCTGGGGCCTCCTGGGACCTCCTAGGGAGGATTCGTGCCCCAGAAGAGGCCCAATCTATAGCAACAGACGTACATAAATCATTCAGATTGGAGCCACACGAGAAGGGGGCAATCTATAGAAGCACACGTAAAACACCAAGGACTCGTGCCCCAGGAGAGGTCCTATAGGAACATAAGTACACAGGAGAAGGACTAGCTATAGAAACATACGTATAACATCCAGGATTCGAGCTCCAGGTGAGGCCCAATCTATAGGAGCATACGTAAAACACATGGGATTGGAGCCACTCTTGTTGCCTTCTGAGGCCTCCTGCTCCTGGGGCCTCTCGGGGCCTCCTGTTGCCTTCCGAGACCTCCTGGCGCTTCCTCTGGCCTCCTGGGGCCTGCTGTGGCTTCCTGAGGTCTCCCGGAGCTTCTTGGGGCCTCCTAGAGTCTCTTGGGACATCCTGTGGCCTCTTGAGTCTCTCTGTGGCCTCCTGATGCCTCAGGGGACCTCATGCTGTCTCCTGGAGCCTCCTGGAGCCTGTTGGAGCCTCCTGTGGCATCCTGAAGAGAAACTGTGCCCACGAGTCTGGCCACCGATCGAGACATCCTCAAAATCTGGTCCACCTGGGGGGTGAAAATGAGCGCCTCGCTCGAGACATCCTCCAAATCTGCTCCGAAAGCGAAGGATGTTGGGACAGAAAACAGGCAAACCGCTTGAGACATCCCCACAGAACGGCCGCGAACGGGACCGTGAGATAACTCCTTGCCCCTCCCCTTAGGGGGGTGAAAATGAGCACCTCGCTCGAGACATCCTCCAGATCTGCTCCGAGAGCGAAGGATGTTGGGACAGAAAACAGGCAAACCGCTTGAGACATCCCCACAAAACGGCCGCGAACGGGACCGTGAGATAACTCCTTGCCCCTCCCCTTAGGGGGGTGAAAATGAGCGCCTCGCTCGAGACATCCTCCAGATCTGCTCCGAAAGCGAAGGATGTTGGGACAGAAAACAGGCAAACCGCTTGAGGCATCCCCACAAAACGGCCGCGAACGGGGCGTGCGTGAGTCTCAGCATGAGTAAGTCTGATTAAGAGTAGGTCTGAGTATGAGTAGGTCTGAGTATGAGTAATTTTGTGTGTAAGTCTGGGTATGAGTAAGTCTGAGTGTGAGTCAGTCTGTGTATGAGTAAGTCTGGGTATGAGGAGGAGAGGGGAGGAGAAGGAGAAGGAGGAGAAGTTGGCGGCGTCCAAGAAATAACAAGAACCCCATCTTAGGATATGGGGAATAAGCAGGATGAGGAGGCCTCTTAGGGGGGCCTCTTGACGGCTGGGGCCCTCTTTTTGGCCTTCCTGAGCCGTTTCGGGGCGTTATTTGTAAATCTTGGGCCGACTTGGATGCGTTAAGGCTAACGAGGCGACTGCCTTACACATGTACACTTTCCCAAGGGGTTGGGGGCAACTGTTGCCTCTTGGGCCCTTTTGTGGGTTCTCGTGTAGCTCTCTTGGGGCTTCTTGAGGGGCCGTCTTAACGTTATTTGGGGTGGCTTGGAGCGCTCCTGGGCTGTGCCGAGCTTTCTTAGACTTCCGGGTGCCGTCTTGGGGCTCTCTTCGCGCCTTGATGGGGGCCCCTTGGGGCTGTCTCAAGCCTCTGGGGCCTCCCGTACGCCTCGTCTTGCACAGCCCCCCTTGCCCACAACATCGCAGTGTTGGATCCGGTGGTGGGGAGCATGAGGGGGAGGATCTTACAGCCTGGAGTCTCCAAGGTGTCGGTGGGCTTGGCAAGAAATTAGTTTCCTAATACAGCAAAGGTGTTCGGCAAAGTGAGTCAGCGATAGAGTGCGACCTACTCATCGAACAATTGCGCGGTGTGGCCAATCTGCTCATCGTGTCTTGTCATTTGGTTGTCAGCTGGAGGGGAACATTTAGAGTGGGGTACACATACGTTTTTAACCGGCAGAGAGAGAGGGGGCGAGAGAGAGAGAGAGGGAGCGAGAGAAGAGAAGGAACGAGAGAGAGAGGGAGATGCATGCATATGTGTATATTCATGTATATATATATAGATCGAGAGGAAGATAACACATAGTGTGAGGCAGCGGGGTATAGGCAGAGAAAGAGAGAGAGAGAGAGAGAGCGACATCTATAGTGGTAGAGACATGCATTATAGTGCGAGCGGGAGAGGAGGAGGAATTCCTGAGACTACTTACGGGAACGTTTCTGCCCCTGCCTGTTGGAAGTATTGAATTGTCTGACATGTGCGTACAAGTCGACAGACCGTTAGAGGTCGGTGTGTGAATGAGGCGTAGGATGAAGATGGATTGCTAACAAGGGACGCAAGCATAGGCGTGGGGGCGCAGGACTCTGTCCAGAAGCACGATTCCGTCGAGATTGTCATTGACTTCGTTCGCATCCCAATCATTGCAGTGGCTTCCTGGTCCTTGTTTGACCAGTGGTACCGCACAGGCGAGGGGACGAGCCAATGATCGGGGCAGGGAGTTCAAATTCTTGGCGCTTCTCATGTTTCCATCCGCCCATCCAGAAACGATGCCCCGGCAAACTGTCGGGAGCAGGGGAGTAGATGAGGACACAGTTCAACACATTTGCCAACGCTGGTGAAACTAGATACCTCTGGGAGCGTCTTGGAGGGGAGGAGGAGTAGGAGTAGGAGGAGGAGGAGGAGGCGGAGGAGGAGGCGGCGGAGGAGGCGGCGGAGGAGGAGGAGGAGGAGGAGGCGGAGGAGGAGGCGGCGGAGGAGGCGGCGGAGGAGGAGGAGGCGGCGGAGGAGGAGGAGAGGGAGCGTCCTGGAGGTACCTGGGAGCCCTTTCGGGAGGCGTCGGTGGCCTCTCTCGGGGATCTCCCTTCGGGGCCTCTCCTGGCCCTCCCCAAGGCGGCGAGGAGGCCCCGGGCCGGCCGAGCCCCGCGCGCCGGGCCTGCCCGCTGCTCTCCCGCTCTCCCGCTCTCCTCCTCGGGGCGACCAGCTGCAGGTCGGGCGTGTCCCTGTACAGGGGGAATTTGCAGAAATTCAGAGCCCCGAATCATCAGGGGTAACTCGGGTCAGGGATAACTCGGGTTCGTTTTTCGGGACTCCAAGCCCGAGTTACCCCGGACCCGAGTTACCCCGGATAACTCGGGCGCCCAAGAAATCGTAAAAAGATCAGTCTGGGGACGATGTCTCGGCTGTTTCTGAGCAGTTTGGAGCATCTTTCAGATCTGTTTTGCGTTTCGGCCAGAATCCCACGGTAGGGGGCTACGCCTGGCCCAAGACTAGCTTCCGCTGCCGTCCCGGGCGGCGGGTGTTATTGTTTTTGTTTGTACTTGTTCCTGCAGCCAAGGGTCAGAGGGGGACAACAAGAAAACATACACATTATTAATCGCCGACTCCCAGGAAAGTGTGGGGATACATACATATATATATATATATATATATATATATATGGGAAGCCGGGGGGGAAGATGGACACCCAGAAGGTACAGGAGCAGATGGAGCATCCCAAGAGTTGTGCCTCTTTCTCTGTGTGTCCCTGGGCCCCTCGAAAGGCACCCTGCTGCTGCGCCTCTGGCGTTTGGAGCTTTCGAGGCACCTTGGGTCCGCCGAGGTGCCTCGCCCTGTGGGCGCCTCGTGCCCGCCCGGGCAGGCGCCTGGTGGGCGCGCTCCCGGGCGCCTCGTGCCCCTGGTCACCCGGCGCCGCGCATTGAAGTGCGCGGCCTTGTCGCTGGCTGGCCGTCGAGCTGTTTCCGCTTGCAGTTCGCGCGTCGTTTGACGGTCCAAGTTCGTCCAAAGTTCTTCATCCGACGCTTGGCATCGCTCGGACGTGTGCACTTTTCTTTCGGCGATGACCATCGAGGAGCATCCCTGATCATTTGGCGAAAAAGCCGCGCACGAAACCGAACAAAACACAGGGAATGGACGTCCGAGCGATGGCCAGTGTGCGGGCGGGGGTTGTTTTCTATGCGTTCGGGGCGGGCTCGCCGAGGGCTCGCCCGCGGTGCCCGCCCGTGGGCGCCTCGTGGGCGTGCCCCGGCGATGGGCATCGCAGGCTGCGCAGCACAGCCCACGCCGCAGGGCCTGCACCGCCGCTTCTGTGCGGTCTTGTTCACGCCGCTTTCAGCTCACGCCGCGCCGGCGGCGCGCGCCATGCATCTTGCACAGCACGTCTAGCACCACAGAGCTCGTCCCAGCTCGAGCCTACACGGCACAGCTAGCACCACCCACACGAGCAGGCATGGATAACAGCACAGCTACCAGCACATGGCTTATTCCACATACAGTTCACATGCACTGTGCAGTCTCTCAACCTTTTGGGTCCAAGTTGGTTTACCCATATATCTAGATATGGACACACACACACATAGCTAACTAATTACAGGCGTCATATCGTGTGTAGCTGCATGCGTTTGCTCGGCAATGTTTCCTGTCGTGCAATGGGCGACGCGAGATTTGCCCGACGCTGTCTCCGACCCCTGGTTTCCGTCTTTTTGATTTGTTGGTATTTCTCGTTTTGTTTGCCCCCCTTTTCTCTCGGATGAGCTATTCTCATAGCGCCTTGTTTTGTCCGAAATCCGGCACTCCGGCAGTGTTTGTTGTTTTGCTGCCGTTGCTGAGTTCGAGCAAAGGAAGCCCTTCCACGACCCTGACCCGCCAGGGAGTTTTCATCATCTTTGGGGTGATTCCAATGGCGTTTTCAAAACTGCCGCGCGAGTCGGGTTGTTGCCCAGAGCTCCCAGGTGTGTGGTTCGTCATCGCAGGGTTGATTACGTTGTAATTCGACGAGGACGTTATTGCCATTTGCACAAGGGAGAGAAGCACAGGGACGACAGGCTCGCCTGCCCCAGGAAGGTTTCTGTTCGGCGCAGCTGGGGGGAAAGGCCAACACTGGACGATGTCCGAGTCCTCTGAAGACCAGGCGATCGCAGACATGGATCACGGGGGCGTGGATTGGCAACGGGTCCCGTTGCCATGAAGAATCGCGGGTTTCCGCAGCCGAGCGAGGCGGCACCGGCCGCATTTTGGGGAGGGCGCCTCCCCCGATCCATGGATTTGGAGACCGCGCGCCAAGTCCATGGATCGCTAATCCACGTTTGCGCGCCCCCGAGTCATTCCGCTCGGGCGCCCACGCAGCTTCGCCTCGCCCGCACGACACGAGCACGAAGGCACGGAGCCGAAGCCGAAACCGATTTCCTGGTGGGGGTGGCTCTCCGTTCCACTGCGATCTCACCCCCAGCCTCCGATATTGCGAGATGGTTGTGCTGGATGTTCGGGTCGGGCGCGCGTCTGCAAGGAAGACGCACGTCTCCGTGTTTGCGCGCCGCCGCGGACAGCTGCGGCCCCCCCCGGCCAGGCAAGAACAACACGGGCCACCCCTTCAGCGACCTCTACGAGAGCATGTCCAGGGCCGGCCAGACGCCCTGGCAGGGAGGGGGGCGCATTGGTGGGCGAGGAGGAGGAGGAGGAGGAGGAGGAGGAGAAGGATGAGGATTTGCCTTCCACCGCCACCACCGTAAGTAGAAGGGGGAGGGGGTCCTCCTCTTCTTCCTCCTCCTCTCGGAGAAGAAAACCACATAAATCTAAACTTTTGGCGCTCTTCGCGGATTTCTCGGATCCGCGCTGGGCCCCCCCCTGGCGGCGCCTCGGGCGCCGCCATTGGCGCGATCCGCGCGCCAGGGAGGAGGGCCGGGCGCGGACCCAAGAAATCCGCGCGGAGCGCCAAAACTTTCTGTTGATGATGTTTTTTCTTCTTCTACTTTTTCTTCCCCCTCCTCCTCCTCGTCCTCCACCTCCTTCTCGGCCCATCACGGATGGTGGCGCGGCGATGGGCTGAAATTTTCGGCTCTGGGCCGAGGTTGCTGGTTCAGGAGTGGCGTTGCAGTCTCAGCATGCGCAGGCTTCTGCGTCTCGTTACTGCAGCAGCACCCTCGCAACCCTTGGCGGATCACGGAGGTCCTCGTGAGGTGCCGGGGCAGGTGGGCCGCCGGCTTGCATTTGATATTCGCGCGTTTGTGATCCCGTGTGCGTCTTTACGCGTTGGTCTACATGGCCTGCATGGTCGTTTTAATTGGGAGCGACCACGTTGAATCTGTGCAGTGTCTGATGGGTAGCGTGCGGGTCTGTCGGGAGGAGGGAAGGGGAAGGCGAAGGGATGGGGGAAGGGGAGGCAGGTAGACGCAACGCTGCGTTATTCAATGCCATGCCATGCAGCCGCATTACATGAATTGCTTTTCGTGCTTCTTGTGACGTTAGTGCTGATGCTATGTCCATGCTGTGCTATCCAGTGGCGCTGCCGCGCATATCCGCCACCGCGCTTGTGAAGGCATCTTGGAGGCAGTTTCTTGTGGGGGGCTCTCCTTCGAGGACCCCCAAGACAGCTGAAGAGGTATATGCATTTTGGTTTGCAACACGTATGTTCAGAACTCAGCGTGTTGGAGGTATCTTGGACACAGTTTTTGGGTCTCTTCGGGGGCGGCTTGTAGGCATCTTGCATGCGTTTCGGGGGCGTCATGGAGGGAGTTATTGGGCCTCGTGAGGGCCTCCCGAGGGCCTGTGGGGTGCCTCTGCGGGCCCCCTGGTTGCCTCTTGAGGGCATCCTGGGGGCCCTCAGGGGCGTTCTGGTTCCGAAGGCTCGGGTTTTTTGTGCCCCCCGCTCCGTGCCCTCTGCGGCCCTCTCTCGGGCCCACCAAGACGGCCCTACTGGACTGCCTTGGGCGCTTATTGGGCTGTCTTGTGGCCCTCATGGGCCGTCTTGGAGCGCTTTTCGGGGCAACAGCGTTTTCCGAGCGGAATTTGGGCGAGCTGTTTGCTTCTTGGGGGCGTTTTGGATGCTTCGGGGCCGCCTTGGGGCCATCTTGGGCGTCTTCTTGGCCCGATCTTTCAGAGACTCGCGGCTCTCCTCGAGCGTCTTGGGAAACTTGTGGGGCCCTCTGAGCCAGTTCCGGGGCCGTCTAGGGTCTAGGCCCGTCGTGGCCATAGGGGCGAGAGGGCTGGGGGGGCGGGCGGTCGCTTGGGACGGGGGGGGGGGGGGGCACTACGTGTTCCTGTAGCATACCAAGGGTAAGTGCTGCGATGCGGTATAAGAACAGTGCGATGTCATGTGAGGCAATACAACTTAGCGCTGTGATGCGCCGGTGCGTTTATGATTATGGAGAGCTGGTCGCTGATATCCCAGGACACGGTTCGTTATGTTGGGGTGTGGTCGATAATGGCAAGGTGTCGTGCCACATTGCGTTATCGAAGACGCCTGCGGCGAATCACCGCCGCCCCCTGCCTTTTTGGAAGCGTCTATGTGGCTGAACGTTGAAGCCAGACCAGCCAAGCTATCGGACCATGAGTTCCCCGAATCGGTTTGGCTGGTTCAAGCAGGCCCAGGGCGGCTGGGGCGCCATGTTTGGCAAGTATATGAAGCTGCACCTGCTGTCTCCGACTGGCCTTGCGACGGCAGGCGCCCCTACTACTGTCTTCGGCACGGACATTCTCATTTGCGCACGCATCGAGTTCATGATCGCCGACCTCGATGTCCACCGCACGTCGTTGAACAGGAACGGTGCCAAAGGCTTCAGGCCGTGATTGCGACACTGCAACGTGCTCAAGAAACACTCAAGCACGGCTGAGTTGGACCCAGCAAGATTCGTTGAAGTTTCTTGTGCAGATCCGACGCGGATCCGATTGCACACCAGTGCAGATGTGTTCGTTGCTGCTGATCTTGCCAGCACATGCATGGGCAATGACTCAGGACCAAGGACCTCTTCGACAAACTGCAAATGACGTGCGGGCTTAAGTTCGCGCCCCACGGCATCCTGCTGGATCCTGAACTGCGCCGCCAATGGACGTAGTGGGCAGCACTGTCATCGATCGGGTCCACACGGCATTGCAATATGAAGCATTCACCACATAAGTTGCCTTGCTGGCGCAGGCGTGCGGGGAGGAGCTGGACGTCAAATTCGAGGATCTCCGAGAGTGCATGAAGGACGGGTGGCTAGCAACAGCGGTACCGCTGCCCCTTCGCGCATGTCTGCATCGGCCACGCAAAGAACCCCCCTTGCTTCAGCCATTTCCAACCGCGCCAATCTGGCAACGCCGAACCGCAGAAGTCGCAGCGAGTCGTCATGGCGCTCGCGGGTGCGTGGGCTGAGCTGGGGCGAAAACGGCTCGGGGATGTCCCCACGTCGTCCCTACTTTGCACTTTCCTACACGGGGCCTCTTGGCCGAGGGGGCCCATCCCCCCTCTCCCGCCCCCTGCCCTCCTCCCCCCATCCTGTCTTTTATCGCGCCAAGTGGCAAGCGGCGCGCAATCTTTCATCCATCCTATTGCCGCCCTGCACTACCCCGCCACGAATGGCAATGGGCACGCCTACTCGAAGACTAGCTTGGATAACCCATGCTCCTTTACCTCTTGCCTGCCTACCTTGCCGCGTTGAGCTTCTTCTTCACCTGGCGGCCGAGTTTCAAGAGATACTCCTTGCTGGCCGCGCAGCGCACCCCCTCGAAGGAGAACGCGCGGCCTTTCTCGTCCGCGAATTTGCCTGGGTCGGCGGCCGCGGGCTTTGCCTTCGGAAGCTCGGCGGCCGCGGGCATCGCCTGGAGCTCGGCGGCCGCGGGCTTCGCCTTGGCGGCCGCGGGCGTCGGGGGCGCGCCCTTCATGCCGAGTGCGAAGTACTCGGCGTCGTCGCCCTCCTCGGGCCCCGCTGGCCTCGTCGGCCGCGTCCATCCCCCCCCCCCTCCTCGCCTGCGTCCATGGTCAGGTCCTCGTCCTCGACGCGCCAGGCGCCAGTCGCCGCTGCAGGCTTCGTATTGTTCGCGCTCGTCTCATTGGTGGCCGGCTTCTTATTCACGGGCGGGTTCTTCTTCCACGCCGCGAAGTCGGCGCTGGTGATCTCCGACGGCCTCGCCGTGGCGTCGGCGAGGATGGCCGCGCGCATCCCCTTCTTGCCAGGGGCCGAGTCGAGCTTCCTGGGCTCCCCGCTGTCGCCGGTCTCCTTGAGCTTCATTCGGCTGTAGTCCGCCTCGCGGACGCTAGCTCGCTCGCGCTCGGGGGGCTGCGCAGCGCGGGCCCGCGCGCGCGGCCGGCGGGGGCCGGCGGCGGCTTGGGCCGAGCATCAATCGGCTGAGTCGGCGCCCCCATCGCGGCCATGTTGCTGCAGCGCGCGGGCGACGGCGGCAGTCGCGGGAGCCAGCTTCTTGGCGTCCTTATGTTTATAGCAGTGCTGCATCGCCTGCTTCGCGGCGTTCGCCCAACTCGCCCGCTCGGGCCTCGGGAGCTCAGGCGAGTGGTCCTTGGCGGCCTCGGCGAGGGGCGGCGCAGATGCGCGCGGCGTCAGGGCCGCCAAGTTGACCAAGAAAGCCTTGTTAAGGCGCGCCGCCTCCTCGACGTCGCTCTGCGCCTGGTAGCGGATGATGCTGAGCGCGTGCGTCTTGCGCAGGTCCGTGAGCGCTTGGAGATCGCTGATGCGCTTGGCCCTGGGGCACTCGCGCCAGCTAGAATCCGCGGCCATCTTTTGGCGGGGCAAGGGGGTGCGGCGCGCGGTGCGCGAGCGCTTAGCTTCGAGCCTAAATGTGCACCGGATTCGCAAGCGGCCGCGGCGACGCACCCCCCCTCCCTCCTCCCTCGCGCCGAGGGGCTCTCTAGACGAGGAGCCCTTGGCCGCTGCCTCATGTATGCCAGGAGCCCCTGGCCGCTGTCTCATGTAGATGGTGTTGAGCCTTGTGGAGCGGGAAAAACCAGATTTCTCAGAACACTAGTTCGGCCTTTTCTGGCGCCCATGTTGGGCCTCCAGGAAAATCCAACGATCTAAATAGATAGGGTTTTTGTTCACAGAACAACTTATCTAAATCGATCGGCTCTAAAAAAGGCATTGTTTAGATCGCCGAGCTCTATTTAGGTGGGCGGGTCTAAATAGGTCGGCGCCGCCCTAAATCGATAGGGACAGTTTAAATAGGAAGGAACATATTCTCAAGGTCCTCGACGCGCCGGAAGCCGCGGCCTGGGTTTTGAGCGGGCGACAAGATGCCGATACCGTTGCTCGTCCTGAGGGCCTTCGGCGCCACGGCTGGATTCGCTGTGCGAGAGGTCATGGGATCAGCGGTGCCTGCGTCCATCGGTCGCCCAGGTGTCGGCGAGAGACGCAGGGGCTGGCCGGGCGTCGGCGGCAGATTCCCTGGCCGGCAATTTCCCGGGCCCCCCCGACGGCTTCAAAGTGGCGTTCCCAGATGGCGAAGAATCCCGGCAAAAGTACCTGCGCGGAATTTGCAGGGCGGTGGCGCCGCGAAGGTGCGCACCGAGTTCCGGATCTCTAACTGGGGTCTTTACTTTGCCGGGCCCCGCGGACCACATCCAGGCGGGCGCCAGGGGGGTCGGCAATTCTGCGCCGCGAAGCCGCAGGCGATCTTGCCATTCGACCCGGAGGCGCGTAATATCATGTCTAGCAACCAGGTGGCCCAGAGCAGCCGCGCGACGTTGCGCGCGGACGACGACGCGACTCTGTCTGCTTTGGAGGCCGACGCAGCGGGCCAGCAGGGCGCCCAGGCCGCGCTCGCTGCCGCGTTGGAATACGCGGGAGGCGGGGGAACCATGCATGGGCGAGGCCTTCATCCGGTCTTTCCCTGATCACCGCTGACTACGTCCAGTGCGCCTGGCGAATGCTCCGCATCAGCGTTGGCATCCGGGCCATCTGGCGAGCTGCTCTGGACGACGAGGATGCCCGCGGCTGCCTTCGACCCCCTGTCCGCGCGCCTCCTGGCCCGCCTGCCCGCGCGCGCCCACCCCCCGCGCGCGCCCGAGCGCCAGTGCCCGCCTGCCCTGGTCGATCTCCCCCCCTTCCTTTTTTGTTTGTGCGTCCACAGGTGATGCCGTGGACTGCGAGGGCGAGGGCGACGAGTCGGCGCGCTTGGCGCGCCCTGTCTGGGGACATTTCCAAGCTGATGAATTCGCTGCCCCGCTCCCCGCGCAGTCGCCAGCCCGCCCAGCGGCGCCGCCGGCGCGAGTTCCCGACGAAGGCATTGCAGGGGCCAGCGCCGCGCCCCCGCCCGCGCGGGCCGCCAGCGCGGAATTCGACGAGTCGCAGCCTGCCGCCCTGGGCGCCGAACGCGAGGGGCAGACTGATGCGCCCCCGGTAGCCGAGGCGCAGGGCCCCGAGGGGTCCGCGCTGACGTTCAGCGACCTGGCGGGCGAGGTTGACATGGACACGCAGGGCCTCGGCGCAGACGGGGCGGCGATCTTCGCGAGGCCCGAGGTTCAAGGACACGGGGCTCATCCGTCGCGTGCTCCCGGCGGCCACGTGAACGCCTGCGTGGGCCTCAACGCCGTCTCCGCGTCGGAAGAAGGATGGCGGTGCTATGCGGAAGAAGCGACCGCCGACTCGGGTCGCCGCGTGGGCTTCGCGCCGACCGAGGAGCGCGGCACAGCGACTCCAGTCCCTGCAGCTGCCCAGGCGCCCGTGGAACCGAGCGACGCTCAGGGCTTTCGACTCAAGGGGCGGCGTAACGTCGCGATCGAGAGCCACCCTATCGTGGAGACCGACAGCCTGGACAAAAGGCCGACCATCCTGATGCGCGTTCCCAGGCTCTTCGACCTGCGCGGGGGCGACATCGGCCTGCGGTTTGACATCTCGGCTCGCTCGGAGAACATCGGACCCGGCAAGCGTGACTACCACGAGCTGTCAGAGTTTCTGCGAGGTGATAAACGTCAGGGGCACCTACGACCAGATCAACATGCCCTCCGTAGTGAGCTTCGAGGTCGTCGCCTCGGGCATGCAGAGCATCGTCGACGCATGCTCGGTGGACCCTTCTTGGCCTCAATGGGCCAACGCGGGGCTGTGCTCCAACGTCGACTCGACTGTAGACATGCCGCCCGAATTTTAGCACTACGACGCCAAGAGGGCCAAGGACGAGGCTGAGGTCAAGTCCATGCGCGCCCGTGGCCGCAACTTGCCAGCGGCTGCCAATGCCGTCGCTGCTGGTGGTCTTCCTGCCGCTGGACGCGGTGCCCCCGTCGCCGCCGCGGCGGGCCAACCTCCAAAAGGACTGGGGCGAGTTACCCCGAAGGGAGGTGAAGGCGCCGCCGCCGCGGCGGAGTCCCAATGAGTGGCATGACCCTCGGCGGCGGGACTGGCCCCCCTGCTGCCGTTCGCCTTTTCGGGCCTGCACGCGGATCCGCGGAGATGTTCCCGCGGCCCGACGACCCCTCTCTCGTCGAGGACTTCTGGATCCACCTTCAGGGGCGTGCCCAGCGCTGGTTCGTGAAGGACTGGCGACAGCGCGTGCGCTCGCTTAATTGGTTGTGGGGTGCTGGACATCGCGAGCTCGCTCTTCGCGCCCATCGCGACGTTCATCCATGCCGACGTCGACTTCAGCAGGAGGTACTGGTGCGCATTGCCCAGGGGGTCGAAACCTATTCAGATCCCCCCTCCGATCTTACGCCGAAGGAGGCCTTCCAGGGGCTACTTCGAGGCCTTGGCGTCTACGATACCGAGACCGCCTACGCTACCCTGGCACCCTACCAACGGGGCGCGGCATCCCTCCCCGGTGACGTCTCGTCGGCCCCGGCCGTGGGATCCTTGGTCACGGGGCGCGCCCTCGAGTACCTGGTAGATGCAGAGGAGCAGATGATCAGGGCCGATGTTGAGGTCCAGCTTGACCGTGAGACGAATGGCGAAATCAAGATTTACACCGACCCGCTGCCCGCCAATAGCCGGCGCCGCAACTCCACGTTCGTGAAGGATCTGAGGCGCAAGGGGCTGCTGGGCTTCAGCCCCGAGCCCAAGGAGTTCGCGGGGGTTTTCTTTGTATGGAAGTAGGAGCGTGCTTCAATGAGGATGGTGCTGGACTGCCGCCGCTC